TTATTGATGATATAAATCAAAAGAAACCATTTAGGTGGTCATCCGGGCATTTTTGCATCTCATTTGTACTGCTTTTGACATACTATATAGTAGGGAACTTGACAAAAAAACTTGAACAGAACTTTAAAACAAAATCTTTATAAAGACTTCACAATTTAATACATATGAACATAAAACCAACCAAATCCCATTACGATGTGCGCAGCAAAACCAAATGAGCAAAGTAAATGAAACTTGAAATTTTTTTTAAAAAGCAATGTTTTTTAAAACACTGCATTTCAAGATAGACATATTGCCTGCCACATTTGTATCTTTAATGTTTTAATGAAATAATGCCTCATCGCCCAGGCAGGAGGATTCCCAAGCAGATGTGAGGGCTAATGTATTCATGCATTGTGCAAGAAAACAGTAATTTGCCTTCAAATTACAGACAATTAAGGGTCAAGCAGCTTGTTTTTAATTATGACTTATCAGATTTGTCTTTATAGTAATTTAATATCAACCTGAGCCTTCAAATAGTTAAACTGAATCATCTGTTCGTTGATGATATAATTCTGTTTTTTGTTGTTGTTTTTTCATTAGCACAATTGCACAGCTGGGGACAAATCTGATGTTGGCTTGGTAATTTTTTATGTATCTTGTTTGATGATAATTCAGTTCTATTGAGATGAAGGAAGCATATGCAGAGACTTCCCTAGGAAAAACGTCCATTACTGCAGTGTGCCATAGTGGGACGTATTCACTACACAGTTTCGCCACTTTTTCATGCGAACGTTTTAAAACAAAAATGTGTTTCGTTCTCTAATCGGCCATGATTTAACCAGGTTCTCTGTCGGCTGCACTGAAATTAAATTAAGCGTCATTCTTTTTAGCAGAATCACAACTCCTTTCCATGTAAATTGGTCTCATTATACAGTAGGTTATGCCTTTTGCCACCATTAACATGTCAAGGACTGGAGTCATATTTTATAAAAGTTTAACTTTTAACTTGGATGCTGTGCTGCGAAATATGCAACATTCAAACATCTGTCTAGTGCATGTTTACATAGAAAAACAATGGAAAACAGTGCAGTGGAATTCAAAAAGGTGTTTAGTGTGAACGGCCCCAAAGCATTTTAAAGAACCTCTTCAAGTGTCGCATATCACAGTCTTCTGCTTCTTCCTCTGTAACTTAGGGCTTGGAACTTGCCTGCTGGATTTGGATTTGCCTACATGCTCTCATAGCACTTTGTAACACTTGACTTTGTACAATTGACTAATTTGTATGAATTTATGTGATCTCATTTGAACATTTTGTAAGAGCTGCTTAAGCCCCACTGATGGTTAGGTTTTGAGGGTGAACCTACTTTTACATTATTACGTACTTTTTTCTAAAAATCTTATGTTTCTGTATGGATCACATTGTACAAATTCTTACAAAACGATGGTTAGGTTTCAGGGGTAAAGCTTCATGCATATATATACAGTGGGGCAAAAAAGTATTTAGTCAGCCACCAATTGTGCAAGTTCTCCCACTTAAAAAGATGAGAGAGGCCTGTAATTTTCATCATAGGTATACCTCAACTATGAGAGACAAAATGAGAAAAAAAATTCCAGAAAATCACATTGTAGGATTTTTAAAGAATTCATTGGTAAATTCCTCGGTAAAATAAGTATTTGGTCACCTACAAACAAGCAAGATTTCTGGCTCTCACAGACCTGTAACTTCTTCTTTAAGAGGCTCCTCTGTCCTCCACTCGTTACCTGTATTAATGGCATCTGTTTGAACTCGTTATCAGTATAAAAGACACCTGTCCACAACCTCAAACAGTCACACTCCAAACTCCACCATGGCGAGTGGCTTCGTAAGAAGCATTTCTAGGTCCTGGAGTGGCCTAGCCAGTCTCCCGATCTCAACCCCATAGAAAATCTTTGGAGGGGGTTGAAAATCCGTGTTGCCCAGCGACAGCCCCAAAACATTACTGCTCTTGAGGAATGGGCCAAAATACCAGCAACAGTGTGTGACAACCTTGTGAAGACTTACAGAAAACGTTTGACCTCTGTCATTGCCAACAAAGTGTATATAACAAAGTATTGAGATGAAATTTTGTTATTGACCAAATACTTATTTTCCACCATAATTTGCAAATAAATTCTTTAAAAATCCTACAATGTGATTTTCTGGATTTTTTTTTTTTTCTCATTTTGTCTCTCATAGTTGAGGTATACCTATGATGAAAATTACAGGCCTCTCTCATCTTTTTAAGTGGGAGAACTTGCACAATTGGTGGCTGACTAAATACTTTTTTCCCCACTGTATATATATATATACATTCTGAATGGATAACATTGTACAAATGCAATTCCATATAAATCTCGTTGTACGGATTCATACTAAATTGCTACCTCATAAAATATCAGTGTTTTCTCGTGAGTTTGAAATTACCTATTGTGCTTAGAAAATCTCAGGTTAAACGGCACTTGACTTGACATTAACGTCCTCCTACGTTAAGTGCAAAGAATAGCTAGTTAATAAATAACTATTTGCTTTCTTTGTTCGTTTGCTCATTTATACATTTATGTTTGCAGCTCATTTATTTCGCTCCTTACTGATAAAGACCCGCATATGGAGGCGTTATTTATATTCCATTAGATTCCTTACAGCTCAGTTAGAAGCTTAAGCTCTTTTAATTGTGTGTAAAGATGCATTGTTCTTTAATTCGTCTCATTAGCCTTACAGCTCAGGGCTGAGTACATTCTCAACATGATTTAAAGACTAGCTCAGTTCATTCTGCATGTCTTTCTGCTATTTTAAATTCATATCCCTCTCACTGACAATATTTCGATAATGTTTCAGATGAACTTCCTGTCTTCACTGCACTATTTATGTTTTTGAGATTATGGTTTATACTGCAATACAGTTAGTTGTAAGTCCCCAGAGGAAAATCTTTCCCTTTATTAGATCAGGCTAGATACCGACTCGCACGCTCTCCCTCCCTTCCTTTTCTCCGAACGGAATGAACTGTAATAATAGAGGAGGCAAGAGACTGTTGAACGCTCTCCCTGTGTGTTTTTCCGTCAGTGTAATGATGCTTCTCTGGCAAAGCTCCACAGTGGCAGCGCAGTGAGGAGCAAACTCATTATGTGGGATCGGAAGGGGGGCTACCGCTCACCACGCCATTGATTTTATGTTCGTTTTCATCAGGCAGCTTTGAAACTGTCATTTGTTAAGGTAGCTAACTGTAGTCAAGATGGTTTTTGCAAAAAAACAAACAAACAAAAATCTTTTGAAACTAAATTTAAAGCTAAATTTAAGCTACTTACGGGTGCACTATCTTTAAATAAGTAACTATCAAGTAATATTATTTTTATTTTAATCAGAGCAGTTTTGAAATAACTGCATTAAACTTGAACAGATACATTTACACTAAATCCCATAAAAAAAGAAATAGGGTGTATTATAATGTTTATATGAACTTTCCAAATTAACCAGTTCACTAGAATGCATCGGACTTTCCACACATTGTCAGGGGTTGCCAGGCGAAGGAGTTTGAAGGAGAACGCAGATATACAACAAACAGAATCTTTCAATAAATCCACTGGGGAGAAATGTAGAAAACAACCACTTTCAACGACAGAGACAGGACAAAGAATCTTAGGAAAGGCAGGGCTATTTATACTGACCAAACGATCGACTAATAAGATAATAAATGAACACAGGTGGAAACTAATTAACTAATCAAGCAACAAAGGAAAACTAGGACAAGGCAGGGAGAACAGAAACACAGAACATACACGTGACAGGCATATGAAAGAGAATATTTATGAAACGATTCATTCAATTTAATTCAAGTTTATTTGTATAGCGCTTTTCACGATTCAAATTGTTGCAAAGCAACTTAACAGAAAATTAAGTTTCTACAATATATTTAGTAGTAGCTTATCAGTGGGTGACTGTTAGTTAATGTACATATAGCAGAAATGTATGGAAAAATCAATTAAAGACGTAATCAAACAGACGATTAACATTATTAACAGCAATTATTATATGATGCAATCAAACTTATAGCAAAATTTGGTAGTTCTGTATGTTGTTTCAGGGTTGGCATCATCTGAGGTCCTCTGAGGGGTTGGCAACATCTCTTCTCAGGTGTTCTGGATCCAGACTGAATCAGATTTTCCAGTGTTACCTGTGAGAGAGGAATGTTTGAGAAGAATCAGTTTAGTAGAATGAATCAGACTTACCACTTGCGTATTAGAAAGAATTTTTATGAAACGATTCAATCAAAAGAGTCAGTTTTTCCAATACTACATCTGAGACCAGAATGTTTGATGAATCACTTTACTAGAATAAATCAGACTTTACACTCTTGCATATTTTAGAGAATGTTTATGAAGCGATTTACTCAAATGAATCAAATTTTCCAGTGCTACATGTGAAAGAGAATTGTTTGAGATGTGTCAGTTTAATAGAATGAATCTGACTTTTCCCTTTTGCATATGAGAGAGAATGTTTATAAAATTCACTCAAAGGAATCAAATTCTCCATTATTTACATATAAGAGAGGAATGTTTGGGAAGAATCACTTTATTAGAATGAATCCAACTTTCCACTGTTGCATATGAGAGAATATTTATGAAACAATTCACTCAAATGAATCAAATTTCCCAATGCTATATGAAAGAGATTAATATTTCAGATGAAACAGTTTTTAGAATACATCAAAATTTCCAACATCACATTTAAAAGAAATGTTTAGGGTAAGCTGATTCAGTAGAATAGTTGTTATACTGTCAATAAGACACATACATGCACACATTTACTTTTGTGCTCTTTATTTTTCCTTGGAAAATTTTGATGGAAATCTCTGGGAAGCTAAGTGACCATGCAACAGGAAATGCTTGTTCAGGCTCACTGCTCTGCAATCTCCGGCATGGCCAGGAACAGTAGTGAAATGTTTGTAACTTTCTGGCTCGCAAGAGCTGAACTGTTTTGAATCTATTGGTGAGAAGCTATTACCAAGGTCTTATCTCCCAGTGACATGTTGCTGTTGACTCTGACTTAATTTTTATTATTGGTCTGAGTCATCTGTGGCCTCAAATTTCCAAGGACGGTTCTGTTGCTGGAGTTTGATTAATGAACAGTGTAAACTCTATCTGTACCTTTCTCCTCCAGGCACAGATGACCAGTGAGGTAACCCAATTAATCGAGACATGTCATCCTATATGAAAACTACAGTTTGACGGCACTGAAGCTCTCAAAAAGTATGACAGTAGCAGTAACAAAGAACTTTAAAGACTTAAGGTTCATTGTCAATGGCATTGTCACAGCTCCTCCTATGAGACATCGGCCTAATGAGCATTAGCTCCAAGGGGATTGTTCCCTAATTTCATTTCATAACGCATTTTGCCATGTTAATGGATTTGACGTGCAGTTGGCAGGACTGTGGAAGTGGACAGCTCACGTTCAGCGCAGTTTTTTCACAGAACAGGTGCCACATCACCAGGTTTCAGTTTTGATCCTTGACCGATTGAAAGCACCTTTGAAGATGACTGTTTCTTAATTAAGTTCAGGATAAAGTCAGTGAAGCCATTAATTGTTTTAACTTTGGAGGTTTAATTACGATTTCAGTCAGGACTTCAAATAAAAAATGCTGGCAAATCTGCACTGTATGTTTGTGCGATTGCCTTGTGGAAATGACATACATTTTACTCCTGATGAGATGCTAAGTGGTAGGCTCAGGTGTTTTTTTGTTGTTGTTTTTTTAGGGGGGAGGGGGTGGATGCTGCCGACATCATCTCAGAGTACAAAAAAATATTTGTGGTGAAATTTGAAGTATATTATTTCACATTCAGTACTTTTCCTGAATATGCAAACTTGATATATTATGATTAATGCACTCACAATGTACAGTAGTTGAATTACTGTATGATTGTGTCTTTTTTATCTGTATCTGTTGATCTGTGTTTATGAAATAAAGCTGAAATAAAATAAGTGAAATGTTGCCTTGGCAACTAACTGAAATAAAATAAGTTGAAGTACTAAAATTATTAATACAAAAAAAATGTAAGCTAAATAGAAATATTTTAAAATAAGCATATAACAAAATTAATACAATTATAAAAAATCTAAAAATAAAAGCTATATTTCAGAATATAAATAATACTATAGTAGTATATAAATAATATTAAAATAACACTGCTTAACTGTGGATGGTAACTATTTTTTTACTAGAGTGCTCATTTGATAGTTTTTCTTTTTCACATTTGTCCATTTTTTAAAAATTAATCTGTCCATAAAAAAATCAAGATAAACATTTAAGTGTTACATAAAAGTAGAACATAAGATTTTCTACTGTTAAAAGTTAATTAGTGTACATTGTTCAGTCTTAAGGTTTTTTTACCATTGTGACAGTAAGACCTTCATCTCCTTCATCTCTTCAACACATTCGCTGTGTTTTTAACTGAGCAGACACTCAGTAATGTGTTTCAATGTGTGCCATATCAAATGTGTTATAAAAACTGTTGCCACTCAGAAAAAAAGTGCAGAAAATTGGTCAAATTGTTTTTCTATTTAAAACAGCACATCAGATGGGAACATAGGGATCTTTAGATACATTTTAAAACTTTTAACTAAATACAGCAAAAAGTATAGCAGTGATCAGTTTTTTTCATTGACCACACACATATTTAAATGTGTAATTCGGATATGATCTGATCTCTTTTCAGATGTATGCCAAACCACTGTGAACATGGAGGCCGATGCAGTCAGACCTGGGACGGCTTCACATGCTCCTGTGATGGGACGGGATACACAGGAGCCACCTGTCACACATGTAAGAATGAATATATATATATATATATATAAATACAGCACATATATATATATATATATGTGTGTGTGTGTGTGTGTGTGTGTGTGTGTGTGTGTGT